AGCTCATTATCGTCATCCTGCCAGGGAAGACACCAGTGTACGGTACAGTTCTCCCGGGACAGTGAGAGCGGTGACAGGCCTCTTTTCGGTAGCTTCCTGGGGCTTCTAGGGAGGACTCGTGTAGATTCTTGGCTCGGTGCCGTTCCTGCAGGAGAAATGGCACATGTACGAGCTGTTGAGTCTCCCAGATCCAAGTTACCTGCTCACACGCCCTCCCAGGAACATTTACTGGGTCCTCTGTGTCTTTTTCCAGGCTGAGCTGGCCAGACAGACGGGTCGGTTCCGATTCCCGTCCTTAGGAGTGCATTGTTTATCAGGACAGTGTGCGGCACGCCCAGGCAGAACGTGGGGTGGTTCTGCTAGCGTTCTGTGGCCTGGTAATGACTTGGTCTTTTTTGAGAGCTTTCCCCCTGCCCTTCTTTTCTTTTCCTGTCTGTTTCAGAATAGGAATGAGTGTCTACCTCTCCGGCTCAGTGCTTTTCTCTCGCTCCATTTTCCCTTTCCACTTCACCTGCTTTGGAGGAAGAGGTGTGTGCTCACCTCCTCTGTGTTCTTGTTCTCTTGCCTTCATGCTGCCCGTGGGACTTGTCTTTCCACCCACGGACTCCGTCAGATTCCCCAGCCGAGAGCCCGTTACCGCAGCCTTGCCGTTTCCTTTAGCTGTGGCCTTCCCATTTTGTTTTTCTGCACACACTTTTTAAATGAGTTCCCCACATTCTCTGTGCCTATGTCCTTACCAAGAAGAGGCCACTTCTTCGCCTCTTTCGTTTGTCTTGTCTTTCTCCTAAACCTCTGTGGAGGGTCTTGCTGTGACTTCTGGGTACGCATTCCTGTCTTTACTTACTGGTTTTTGACAGTACCAGAATTGCCTGCTAGCCACCAGGATTCTATCCTATACCCTGTTTTCGTCTTTGTATTCCATTGAAATTCTCATCCATTTCAGTTGCGTGCCCAAGATCCCGAGAGGAGAATGGAGGAGAAGGGATTGTGGTGTGGCCATCCCCCCGGGGGGTGATTTCTGGCTTTCTGTCTCTCAGTCTCTCTCTGTCTGGTGAGCGCACGTACCCTATAGCAAAAACCTCTCCAAAAAAAAAGAAAAAGAAAGAATTTTTTTTTGTTTTATTTATTCATTCATTTATTTTAATTTGACCAGAGAGAGTGGGGAGGTGTAGAGAGAAAGCAAGCCACCAGGTCTGGGACTCGAACCGTGGTCGGCCATTTGGGAATGTGTGTCCAGCACCTGAACCACCATGCCACCTGCTGGTCCCTCTTTTTTTTTTTTTTTTTTAAAGAGGTTTTTGCTGTAGGGTGCATGCACTTGCCAGAAAGACAAAGAGACAGAGAGATAGAAAGTGAGAAATCACCCCCCAGGGGTAATGGCCACACTGCAATCCCTTCTTCTTTAGTCTCCTCTCGGGGTCTTGGGCACACACGCACACTCGTCTGGTGTGAGTTGAAGCCACTGGGTCTGGGACTCAAACCACGATCAACTACATGGGAGTCCAGTGACACATTATGCCATCTGCCGGTCCCCCTCTTTTATTAAAGACATTTTTGCTATAGGGCGTGTGTGCTTGCTGGAGAAACAGAAAGTGAGAAATCACTTTCTGCCACAATCCCTTCTCCCCCATTCTCCTCATGGTATTTTGGGCACATGCACATATGCCCAGCATGAATTTTAAGCCGCTGGGTTTGGGATTTGAACCATGGTTGACTACCTGGGAATCCAGCGATGTGACTATTATACCATCTGCTGGTCCCAAGTCTTGATCCAGCCTTGGGAAGTGTGCAGCTCTCATCTGTCCATTTGGCCTCTGACCCTTTGTTTTGCAAGTTTATTGATCACCTGTTACGTGACAAATTCTGTGCTTGATCCTGGACATGCTGGTGAATAAACAAGTTGTTTCTGCCCTTACAAGGTTAGGCACTTGAGTAGCAAGTCTCTGGACACCCTTCGCTTTTTTGCTTTATTTTTCTCTTTTCTTCGTTTGGTGTTGCAGTTGCTGCTGGATACCTTCATTCAAACTCTGGAGGTAGTTGGTCTTCTCTTTGCTTCACTTCTAGTGACTTTTTTATTTTTAAATTATTTATTTATTTATTTATTTATTTTAATTTTGGCCAGAGAGGTATAGAGCAAGAGAAAGTGAGACAGCAAGCCACCAGGTCCGAGACACAAACCACGGCTGGCCATGGAATCCAGCATCCTTGCCGGACCCTCTAATGTCCTTTTTTACAGTCTTTCTCAGCGTGTTTTCTTGCTCTCCATCCACATGTCTCCATTTAGTTCTAATTGTTCTTCTCTAGTCTTTTTATTTTTGAATATTTGTTTAATTTTACTTATTGTTACTATTTTTTTATTTTTTAGTTTTTTGTTGTTGGTGTTTGTTTTTGCTATAGGGTGCATGCACTCGCCATAAAGACAGAAAGAGACAGACAGAAAGCGAGAAATCACCCCACAGGGGAGATGGCCACGCCGCAATCCCTTCTCCTCCATTCTCCTCTCGGGATCTTGGGCACGCACGCACATGCGCCCGGTGTGAGTTTAAGCCACTGGGTCTGGGACTCTAACTATGGTCGACTACATGGGAGTCCAGTGACATAGCCATTACACCAACTGCTGGTCCCTGTTGCTACTTTTTTTAAAAAGATATTTTCTTTCCTTTTATTAAAAAGTATTTTACTTAACTTTCTTTATTTATTTATTTTAATTTGACCAAAGAGGGACAGAGGGAGCAAGAGAGAGAGAGAGAGAAAGAGAGAGAAGGAAAGTGATAAAGCAAGCTTCCAGGTCCGGGACTTGAGCCATAGTTGGCCGTGTGGGAGTCCAGCGCTCTCAACCACCGTACCACCTGCTGCCCCCTGTTACTACTTTGTTATTGCTTTTTAATTTATTATAGGGCATGTGCTCTCATGAGAGAGAGAAAACAAGCTGCCAGGTCTAGGGCTTGAACCATAGTCAGGCATGTGGTAGTCCAGCACCTTAACCACCATGCCACCTGCTAGCCTCTCCTCTCTTTCTGGAATAGGTTATTAGATATGACTTTTTTGACTATACTGCCCCAAAAACCTTCATTGTTTTCCATTTATTACTGCATAAGGGTTTTCAGGGCCGTTGTCATAGTGTACCATTTCTAGCATATCGCACCCTGTTCACTCACTGGCTGGATAGATCTCTGGCTCAGGATTGTGCAGAGCCTGCTTTCAGTCCTGCCTCTACCTGATGACTGGTTTAGGCAAGTGCCCCGATTTTCTGAGCCTCGTGAATGAAGCGTATAAAAAGCCACATCTAGTACAGGGCGTGGCACGTAGGAAGACCCTGAGTGTGCTCGTTCCTTGGCTGTGCTTTTCAGGCTCTGGTTTGCCTTCCCTGGAATAACTGAATACTCTTCTTCCTGACCCCCGCATTGCCCTTCAATTCTTTCCATCTTTTGAGACCCAGTTTAGATACTACTCATTCCTCATTCTTGCCATCCCACCTGGAGGGTGAACTTGTCTTTTTCCAGTTTCCTTTAGTTATCCGAGGCTCAGAAAAGTTAGGTAATTTGCTTAAGCCGGTTGCCTGGAGGGAAGTTGATTGATCTGCAATCTGTATCTTTCACTTGGGCCATAAATTGATGGCCTTTGGATGGGAGATAGCGGTGATTTTTAGGAGAACTGCTCTGAGTAAATTCCATGTTACCGGTCCCCTCCACTAAAGGGAAAAGTCAGTGTTTTGACCTGGAAGTATGGCACAGGGTCCTTGGGAACATAACACCTTTTCAGAAGTTTCGCTCCCCTGGGCTTAGTGATCTCACCCTTTTCTCCAGCTTCAACCATGTATTAGGATCTTAGGTTTCCATTTTCATGTGGTTCCTAGATTATACCACCTAGACAACAGGACCATCTCTAGGAAGTAAGCCAGCAGATAAGCAGTCAGGAGGCCAGCAGGTAGCATGGTGGTTAAAGCTCTGGATCCCACATGACTGACCACAGTTTGAGTCCCAGACATAGCAGCTTGAAAGTCACGCCAGGTGCATGTACATGTGCGCCTGAAACCCCGGAGGAAAATGAAGAAAGATTATGGTGTGGCCATCCTCCTGGGAGGTGATTTCACCCTTTCCCTCTGTCTCTTAGCGAGTGCAGCTGCCCCATAGCGAAAACCTAAAAAGAGAGAAGCAGTCGGATTCTTCCAAGAACCCTTCACACGCCCTCTGGGGATGCTGGGTAAAATGGCATTGTCCCTGTGATGGCACTGCAACCCCTACTGATACCAGCCACTCCTCTGTCTTCTGACCCATACCAGAAATAGAAGAAGTTTGTGTCTTTAATATTTTATTTAACTTTATATATTGTTTTATACTTAAATATATATGGTTTTTTAAATTTGTTTGTATTTGATAAAACTTATTTTATCAAATATATATTTTTTTTCTTTCTTTTTTTAAAAAAAATTTTTTTTTAACATGACCAACAAAATACAGAGAGAAAGGGAAAGTGAGAAAGCAAACTGCCAGGTCTGGGACTCGAATTGCAGTCAACCAAGTGGGAGTCCAGCGTCTTAACCACCATGCTACCTGCTGGCCCCTAGAATAGTTCTGCCCGTTTCTGAACGTGATATGAATGTGATCGTACAGTACGTACTCTTTTGGTCCGATGTTTTTCACTGAATGTTGAGTCTGTGTGGGTCGTTCATGTGGTGTCTAGTTGTCGCTTTAGTAATCTTTCCATCGTGACTGTGACCCAGTTGGTGTGTATTTACCCATCTCACAGTTCACGCACGTTTGGGTTGTTTCCGGTTTCTGACTGCTATAAAATAACATTGAGTGAACACTCTTGTACTTGTCCCTTGGACACATGTACCCGTCTCTGTGGGCTGTACATCAGGGAGGGGGTGGTTTTTTCTTGGATGATGTGTGCACTTGCGAGAGGGAGAGAGAAAGAGGAGGAGGAAAGAGAGAGAGACTCATCGATGGATATGGTCACGCTCCTTTCCATTTCTTCTTCCCTACAAGATTTTGGCTGCACCTGCTCCTGCTTTTCTTTTTTTTGTGGGGGGGAGGAGAGGTTTTTGCTATAGGTCGCATGCTCTCACCAGAGAGACAGAAAGTGAGAAATCACCCCCCCCAGGGGAGATGGCCACGCCACAATCCCTTTTCCTCCATTCTCCTCCTGGGATCTTGGGCATGCATGCACATGTGCCTGGCGTGAGTTTAAGCCACTGGGTCTGGGACTCGAACCATGGTCGACTACATGGGAGTCCTGCCACATAGCCATTACGCTAACTGCTGGTCCCTGCATTGTCCTTTTAATTTGTTTTCTCTAATGATTGATAAAGTTGAGTATCTTTTGTTTCCCCCTGGAGGTTTTTGCCTTGGAGTGTGTGCGCTCACCAGAGAGAGAGGGAGAGAGGCAGAGAAGAGAGAGAGGGAAAATGAGAAATCACCCGTCAGGGGGGATGGCCATGGCGCAATCGCTTCTCCTGGGATCTTGGGCACACATATGCACCCGGTGTGAGTTTCAAGCCACTGGGTCCAGAACGCAAACTGGGATCAGCCACGTGGGAGTCCAGCAAGGTAACTGCTATACTGTTTGCTGGCTTCAAGTCAAGTATCTTTTTAAATGTGTGTTGGCTGTTCCACTAGTCCCTTTTCTAAAGTGTCTTCTTAAGTCTTCCTTTTCTTCTTCCTCTCCAACTTTGCCCAGAGACTTGCCTCTTTCCTTTCTTACTGGTTCTTTCGTTGAACAGGAATTTACATTTGTCAATATTTTGGCTGGTGCTTTTTATGTCTTATTTTAGAAATCTCAAGGTCATGAAGATAGTATTTTGTTTTCTTTCATTATTACTGTTTTTTTATTTTTCCTATCTCTAAATCGAGCGAACACTGGGTTGCTTTTCTGTCCCCTTGCAGTGGCCCCTTAGCTGGTTCAAAGCGTCAGATCTCAGCCTCAGAGTAGCCACGGAGAAGCAGCTGCAGAAGGAATGGTTCACCTCTGGGGTTTGCCCCTTTCTGGACTGTTAGCCTCTCCCGTTCTCACGGTCTCCGTACTGTCTGATGCCTTCAAAAAGATGAGTTCAGTCATCTGTGTTTTCTGTAGAAGAGCTGGTTTGCCACTACCTCCTCTGTCACTCTGGGAAATGGAAATGAGCCCTTTAGCTTCTTACACAAGCTCAATTCTGTCACACTGAAAACACCTCACACTCTTCACTGACCGTCTCTTCTTGGTACCTTGCATCAACAAAACAGTTTCTGCCTCTACATGCTAATTTATTGCCCTCGTGTTACTCACTCCAAAGGGTTTCTGGCCCTCATTTTACTTGATCTTTTAACTGCATTGAGTCTTGTTGACCACTCACTCCTGGAAACACTCTTCCCTTGGCATTCATGATATGAGACTGTCTTGGTCTTCCTTTGAGCTCTCTGGAGTTTCTCCCTTTGCAGGCTCGTCTTCCTGTTCTGCAAATACTTGAAATTCCTCAAGGTTCAGACCTAATCCCTCTTCTCTGTTCATTTTGTTACCTTCCTTGGTGATCTCTTTTTTTTTTTTTTTTTTTAAAGAAAGAATTTTGCTGTGGGCGTGCATGCTCGCCAGAGACAGAATGAAAGCGAGAAATCACTCCCCCCAGGGGATGGCTACACTACAGTCCCTTTTCCTCCATTCTCCTCTCAGGATTTTGGGCACACACACATGCATCCGGTGTGAGTTTGATGCCACTGAGTCCAGAACTTGAACTATAGTCGACTAACCATTATGCCATCTACTGTCCCCCTTGGCAGTCTCATCAAGGTCATGCCTTCAGTTATTATGTGTACCTAAATAGTGCACAAATTTGCATCTCCATTTCAGACTACTCTTTCGAGGTCCAACCACTACGTCGATTTGCAGATAATACCTTCACTGGAATAACCAAAAAGCATTTGAAATTCAGAATGCCTCAAAATAGTTTGTGATCTATCTATTCCTAATACTTTTTTTTTTTAAGAGAGATTTTTGCTGTGGGGTGCATGCACTTGCTGGATAGAGAGACAGGAACAGTGAGAAATCACCCTCCAGGTGGGATGGCCAAGCTGCAATCCCTTCTCTTCCTGGGATCTTGGGCACACATGCATATGCCCTTGACATGATTTTCAAGCCACTGGGTCCAAGACTCAAACTGTGGTTGGCCATATGGGAGTCCTGCGACAACTGTGGCATCTGCTGGTCCCCAAAAACTAGAAACTTAAAGTTACCCATGACAGTTCTTTTCCTTTACTCACACATCTAGTCTATAACTGAATCCCTTAAATAGATCTCTTAAATCCTTGTGTTTATCTTCATCTCAGCAGTTCGGCTGCCTCCTTAATCCACACTACCCTCGCCTCTCCTTCCTTTCTCAACCTAACCAGCACATTCCTTCTCTCAAGACAAGGTCCCCTTGTTCCTCTTTTTTTTTTTTTTTCTTTTTCTTTTTTTAAGGTTTACCCCTAGGGGGCATGCACTTGCTAAACAGCGAGAAAGAAAGTGAGAAGTCACTCCTCCAGAGAAGATGGCCATGCCACAATCCCTTTTTTTTTTTTCTGAGAGATTTTTTGCTATAGGGCGCGTGTGTTTACCAGAAAGACAGAGAGAGACAGAAAGCAAGAAATCACCTCCGGGAGGAAGGCCACGCTGCAACCCCTTCTCCTCCATTCTCCTCTCAGGATCTTGGGTACGCACACACACGTGCCCAGTGTAAGCCACCAGGTCCGGGACTTGAACCGTGGTCAACTACGTGGGAGTCCAGTGACATAGCCATTATGCTAACTGCTGGTCTCCCCAATCCCTTCTTCACCATTCTCTCTTGGGACTTTGGACATGCACACACACGCACCCAGTATAATTTTTTAAGCCATTGGGTCTGGGACTCGAATCATGATTGTCCATGTGAAATCTACCACTCTGACCTGTTGGCCTCTTCTTCTTGAGTTACTCTGACCTTTGACTTTCTCGTATATAGCCTGATGTCTTCTAGCCAAGTGCATTATGGCATGCCGCTCCTTCTGCCCCAAATCCTCTCTCCCAGGTCTCTTCCTCTTCTCAGCCCTTTGGGTGTCCTCAGGCTTCAGTTTGGTCATTATTTACCCAAGAATCCTTTCTTCACCAGATTATTACACCTATTATGTGTTCTAACTCCATGAAAAAAAAAATTTTTTTTTAGAGGTTTTTGCTATAGGGCTTGTGCGCTCGCCAGACAGACAGAGAGAGACAGAGAGACAGAAAGCAAGAAATCACCCCCCAGGGGGTATGGCCACACCGCAGTCCCTTCTCCTCCATTCTCCTCTCAGGATCTTGGGCACGCACGCACACATGCCTGGCGTGAGTTTAAGCCACTGGTTCCGGGACTCAAACCTCTGTCAACTACATGGGAGTCCAGCAACATAGCCATTACACTAACTGCTGGTCCCATCCATGAAATATTCTATCCTAGCATATGTCAGTGTTGTAATTTTACAGTCATTAGGTAGTATGCACTGTAAGAGTAGGACTCTTAGGTATTTTGGGTCACTGTTTTGTTCCCCTGCATCTCATATACTACATGACATCTAGTAGTCATTCAACAAATGCTTGTTGAGTGCACTAATCAGTTCTCTCCCTGCCCATAGCTGAGGTGAAACGTGTCGGCGATACACTCTTGGGGATGGCTACACAGTGTGTGCAGGTGAAGAACGTGGTCAAGACCTCACCTCAGACCCTGTCCAACCTCTGCCTCAAGATCAATGTCAAACTCGGTGGCATTAACAACATCCTCGTTCCACACCAGCGGTATGACCTCTGTTGTTCACTTGTCCTCGTTCAGGTGCCATGAGGGGGTTGATGAGGGACAGAGCCTCGGCCAGGCAGAGTGAATGTCACACACCAGGGAGAAGACCAGAGTGGGTGATGGATGGTGCCAAGCAGAGAAGACCTAATTCCTCACCATTTTGTTTTCCTCTCCTTGCTCAGCTCTGCCGTCTTTCAGCAGCCAGTGATATTCCTGGGAGCAGACGTTACACACCCCCCTGCAGGGGATGGGAAAAAGCCTTCGATCACGGCAGTGAGTGGTGCCCTCCAGCCTGCTCCGCAGTCCTCCTCCTCGCTCTGTCCCTAAGGCTGCACGTGATTCCTGCCCAAGTCTGATTCTTGCCCCTTCTGATGGAGTTTGAGCTTCTCACCCCCATTCCTCACTCCGCGGGGGTCTTCCTAAAGCTAACTCTGTGTGGTGGCTTTTTCCCGAGGAGTGTAGTGAGAGAGTAGGCTGTGGCCGGGACTTGGTCCATCCTCATCGCTCTCACTGCCTTTGAATTCTCTCTCTCTCCACCCCACCCCCATGCCTGCTTTGGGATATGGGGGAATAACTCTTCTGAAATCCCTTTCAAGGGACTATTTCTGGGACTTTCCTTTCCTCTGCCTACCTCACCCCAATCTATCTATGTCTCTCCAATCTCTCTCCTGACTTCTGCTCCCTGTCCCCTACGGGCTTCCACTTTGATAGGAATTAAGCCGACCTTTCCACTTCTGTTTCCTTAGTTCTCGCATTTCTGTAAACTGACTGGTCTTATCTCTGTAAGTGCAGAGAAGGGGAGAAGGAATGCTGTTATATGCTTATCTCTGTTTTCTTTATGTCCATCCCTCCCAGGCTCTGGTCACTGTCCCCTTTGACGATGACATTAGTATCCCCACAAGAACGTTCTCATCATAGTCATCATTCCTGGGTAGATCAGCACTTGAATGGGAAAACACCATGGGGCTAGATGGGCTCACTCTCTTGTCTAGGAATGCCAGGCCCACCCCTGCTCCTGTAGAAGGGGTAGAGGAGTCACCAGTCAGGTACCTCCTGCAGGCTGACTCGCCCAGTAGGTTGGCCCTGCGTGAGGTGCAGTTAATGTTCTGCAGCTCCACAAGTGAGTTTTTTTTTCTTTTAAGAGAGAGTTGTTTTTTTTTGTTTTTTTTGTTTTTTTGTTTTGAGAGGTTTTTGCTATAGGGCGCGTGCACTCGCCAGAAAGACAGACAGAAAGCGAGAAATCACCCCCCGGGGGTATGGCCATGCTGCAATCCCTTCTCCATTCTCCTCTCGGGATCTTGGGCACGCACACACATGCGCGCCCAGTGTGAATTTTTAAGCCACCAGGTCTGGGACTCAAACTGTGGTTGGCTACATGGGAGTCCAGCGACATAGCCATTATGCCACCTGCTGGTCCCTAAGAGAGAGATTTTTGCTATAGGGCTCATGGAGAGACAGGGACAGAAAGCAAGAAATCATTCCCTGGGGGGATGGCCATGCCACAGTTCCTTCTTCTCTGGGATCTTGAGCACTCACACACATGCACCCATTTTAAACTTGACCAGAGAAGGACAGAATTGGGGCAGGGTGTGAGAAAGCAAGCTGCCAGGTCCGAGACTCAGACCATGGTCGACCATGCAGGAGTCCTGCACCCTTAACCACCATGCCACTTGCTGTTCCCTTCCCCCAGTGTGAGTTTTAAGCCACTGGGTCCAGGACTCGAACCAAGGTCAACTATATGGGAATCCAGTGATGAAACCGTTATACCATCTGCTGGTCCCACAAGTCGGTGTTTGTATTTCCACATGAAATGGAGGAACAGAAGGTCAGATAGGTGAAGTAACTTCTACATGCCTGATAGATCAGAGAAGGAAACCAGGTTTACTGGATCCCAAGCCGTCCCCAATCCATTGCAGTTTTCTTGTTAATAAGACTTTCCCCATTACCAGCAGCATGACAGGGAGGGAGGGCGGAGGTCTGGGGGGCTGATGCTGTCTCTTCAATTCTCAGGTGGTAGGCAGCATGGATGCCCACCCCAGCCGGTACTGTGCTACAGTGCGGGTGCAACGACCACGACAGGAGATCATCGAAGACTTGTCCTACATGGTGCGCGAGCTGCTCATCCAGTTCTACAAGTCTACCCGCTTCAAGCCGACCCGCATCATTTTCTATAGAGATGGGGTCCCTGAAGGCCAGCTCCCCCAGGTAGGACCCGCGGTAGGGATAGGAAACCTTCCTATCAAGGGCCGGAGGGCTAATCTCTCTAAGCTGCCTCTTGGTGAACTTTGCTAATTGGGGTGGGCCTGGGGACAGGGATCACAGATGAGGGTGGGTATGCACGCAGCCGTAGACCTCTTGTAAAGGAGGCCTTGGTGCTTGCTTACTAGTTGGTTCATGTGGTAGGCTGCTTATTTATTTATTTATTTTAATTTGACCAGATAGGAACAGAGTGAGAGAGAGAGGGAAAGTGAGAAAGCAAGCTGCCAGGTTCAGGACTCAAACCGCCATCTGCCATGTGAGAGTCCAGTGCCCCTAACCACCATGCCACCTGCTGGCCTCTTTTAGATACTGCTTATGTGCCATGAACTGTGCTAAGAACTTCCTGTATGTTCTATTTATTGCTTTCAATAGCCCTATGAAATAATAATCTGATGATTCCCATTTGGCAGATGAGGAAATGTTAAATGATACCCAAGCTAAGTGATAAAACTGAAATCCAGACCTATTGGTCTGATTCCAGAGTCCATGCTGTTAGTCATTATGCTCCATTTCCTCCAAGTATTTCCTAAAGTGCCAGATGAATTGTTCATATCTCCTCTCTGTTGAGAAATGTCTAGTGGTGGGGCCGGCAGGTGGCATGGTGGTTTAGGGCACTGGACTCCCACATGGCCAATTACGGTTCAAATCCCAGACCTGGCGGCTTGCTTTCTCACTTTCCTTCTCTCTGTCTCTCACTCTGTCCTTCTCTGGTCAAGTTTAAATAAATAAATAAATAAATAAATAAATAAATAAATAAATAAATAAATAAATAAATAAATAAATAAATAAATAAATAAATAAATAAATAAATAAATAAATAAATAAATAAATAAATAAATAAATAAATAAATAAATAAATAAATAAATAAATAAATAAATAAATAAATAAATAAATAAATAAATAAATAAATAAATAAATAAATAAATAAATAAATAAATAAATAAATAAATAAATAAATAAATAAATAAATAAATAAATAAATGAAGTTAAATAAAATAATTCTTTAAAAAAAAGTTTAGTGGCTTCACATAGCCTTATGTTAAAATTCAAACTGCTTAGCAAAGCTATTACCAGTTATTAAGCCCTACTAGACTTTTTTATGCTTTTATTTAATTATCTGCCTTAGTCTTCACAATCGTTTTGTGAAGCAGGTCTTATTAGTAACATTAATATATGTGGAGAAAATGAGCTTGGGTTAAATAACTTGTTTATGATAGCATGACTAGATAAAGTTTAGGTTTAAACCTAGTTCTAGCAATAATTGGTTCCAAAGTCTCTCTCTCTTTCTTCTTCTTTTAATAGGGTATGGCCATGCCACAGTCCATTCTCCATTTCCCCCTTCCTTCAGGATTTTAGTCATGCACACAGATGTGCCAGGAGTGTTTCCCAGGCTGCTAGGGTCCAGGACTCGAACTACTGGGTTAACCATGTAAGATCCAGCCACTTCTACCACCAGGTCCCGGGCTAGCCTGAAAGTCTCTCCTTTGCTACCACAGTTTTGACTCCCTGTATCTGACATCCATGGTCATAGTCTGTAATTACCTATGATTATTTACCTGTAGCTTCTTGTTTAACCTATTTTCTTGTAATCCTGCCTTTTTTCCCCCTAGTTTTTGCTATAGGATACGTATGTTCACCAGAGAGAGACAGAGGGAATGTGAGAAGTCACCCCCTGGGGGGATGGCCACATTGCAACCCCTTTTCCTTCATTCTCTTCTCAGGATTTTGGGGATACATGCACAAATGCTCAGTGTTTTCCAAGCTGCTAGGTCCAGGACTTGAATCATGCTGTCAGCCATATGGGATCCAGATGCCTCGACTGCCCTGCTACTGGGGGGCCCTCCTGCGGCTTTGTGGTACTGAATTCATCTACTCCATCACTCATTGGGAACCATGAGCGTACTTTGAAAAGTTCATGGAAAAATGAAGTCAAGAGACCAGCAGATAGCATAATGGTTATGTCACTGGACACCCTTGTGGTTCTAGGACTCGAACTGCCTAAACTCAGCTGGGTGCATGTGTGTATGTGCCCAAAATCCCAAGAGAATGGAGGAGAAGAGATTGCAATGTGGCCATTGCCTCAGGGAGTAATTTCTTACTTTCTGTCTCTGTCTCTTTTTGTCTCCAAAGGCGACTGCACATGGCATATACACATACACACACATGCGCCCAATGTTTTTCAAGCCACTGGGTCTGGGACTCAAACCATAGTTGACTACATGGGAGTCCAGCAACGTAACCATTATGCCATCTGCTAGTCCCAGTACATGACCTTTTTGAAGCCTTCTCATATGTCTGCCTTTTCCTGGTGGTCTAAACCCGTCTGTTCTTGGAGCTCACAAGAGAACTCCTGTTATTCTCTTGATCCTGAAATCAACCCAACTTTGGACATTGTGGGTTTAACGATCTCACTATGAAGTTTGGTGCTGTGTCTTGATTTTAGGTGTATTTATGCAGGGTAACCAGGTGAGTGTTCTCAGCCAAGGGGTCATAGAACATATCTGATAGCAGGCTGGTTTTGGCTGGAGGGGCCTGTTGTCTCTCCTTGTTGGGCATTAGCTTATGTATAGGGAGGGAGCGTAAAAGGCCATACTGAGGAGTGACCCTTTGGTTCATAAAGGCAGGTGAACTCAAGCATTGCTGTGTGTCTTTGTCTTCCTCCTCACCCGGTGCCTAGATCCTCCACTATGAGCTGCTGGCCATTCGCGATGCCTGCATCAAACTGGAAAAGGACTACCAGCCCGGGATCACGTACATCGTGGTGCAGAAACGCCATCACACCCGCCTTTTCTGTGCTGACAAGAATGAGCGAGTGAGTGAGGAGTTGAAGAGGCCGCCCAGACCCTTGTCCTGTTTCCTGTGTCTTGAAAAGCAAGAAGCCCTTGAGATGAAGCCTGGGGATTTAGTCTTTGTCCTGTCTGTCCTGCCTTACCCTTCCTTTCCCCAGTTCCTATGGTCCTTTCTCTGTCTGCCACCTCCTTCCCATAGCGGCTTCCTCTACTCCTTTCCCTGTGCTTCCTGTCCCTCCTCCCAGCTCCCAGAGAAGGGAAAGGGAACTACCATTTATTCAGCTTCTCCTTTGTGCCAGACACTGTGCAAGGCGTCTTCCTCACAGCAGCCCTGTGAGGTAGGCACCGTTATCCTCTCCCGTTTCACCTCCGAGAGGTTAATTGACCTGATGAGATTGCACAGCTAATTAATTGTAAAACCAGGACTTGGAACACAGGTGTGTGGGATGTTAGACGCCTATTATTTCAAGACCTGGGCCGCTCCAGAAAGAGCAGCTTCACTTTGCTTCCCAGGTCTGGTGAAGTCAGAGTTGAGTTGAGCCAGGGGCCCTCGTCAGGGCCAGGCAGGTCTTGGGATCTTGGTTGTGTTTGTCTCTACACAGATTGGGAAGAGTGGTAACATCCCAGCTGGGACCACCGTGGACACCAACATCACCCACCCATTTGAGTTTGACTTCTATCTGTGCAGCCACGCAGGCATCCAGGTAGTGGGGCTACGTCTGGGGGTTTCTGATGGGTCAGGAGAGCTGGTTATTCCCACTGCGTCTAGAACATTCTAGTCACCTCTGAGTGGCATTCCGATTAGAATTGCTCTCTTAATAAGCCCTGAGTGACTTGCTAATCACCCGTGAGCTGGGTGTTTTCTACGTCAGTGGCTCTGTGCCTGCCTATTCATGGGCAGATCAGCCAGCGTGGCCATATTCTTTGCAGGAACTGTGCTCCTTATCACTTGCCATCACTTCTGCCCAACCTGGGACCCTTCCCTTCCTGTCTTCCAGGGCACCAGCCGACCGTCCCATTACTATGTCCTCTGGGACGACAACCGTTTCACAGCGGATGAGCTCCAGATCTTGACGTACCAGCTGTGCCACACTTACGTACGGTGCACACGCTCCGTCTCTATCCCAGCACCCGCCTACTACGCCCGCCTGGTAGCTTTTCGGGCACGATACCACCTGGTGGATAAGGAGCATGACAGGTGAGTCCTGGCTTCCTTTCCATTTCCTTAGGTAGAAGGAGGTGGGTACTGTCCATTCTTTCACCTTTGGGCTCACTGCCCAAACCCAGGTTGGAGTTTTCGCTTAAGGTGGTATGGGAGGGACCAGCAGATGGCGTGATGGCTGCGTTGCTGGACTCCCACATAGTGACCACAGTTCAAGTCCCGGACCTGGTGACTTTAAAACTCACACTGGGAGAGACCAGCAGATGGAGTGGTGGTTAAAGGCGCTAGATTCCCACATGGCTGACAACGGTTCGAGTCCTGGAACCTGGTGATTTGCTTTCTCCCTTTCCCTTTCTCTGTCTCTCTCTGGTCAAATTAAAAAATAATAATAACAAATGGAATTAAATAAATAACTTAAAAAAAAAAAAAAAAAGCTCACACTGGATGCCTGCGCATGTGTACCCAAAATCCCAAGAGAATGGTGGAGAAGGGATTGCAGTGTGGCCATCCCCCCCAGGGATGATTTCTCACTTTCTGTCTCTCTGGCGAGTGGATGCACACTATAACAAAAATCTCTCTCTTAAGAAAAAAAATAAGATGTATTGTAGGGGCCAGCATGTGGCATGCTGGTTAAGGCTCTGGACTCCCACATGGCCGACCATGGTTCAAGTTCTAGACCTGGTGGCTTACTTTCTCGCTGTCTGTCTCTCTCTCATAAATACACCTGCCCTATAACAAATTTTAAAATGATAATAATAAATTTTTTTTAAAAAAAAGGTAGTATGGGAATAGGTACCCCAGGAGTGACTGAGGGACTTCGCTCAGTTCACCAGGAAGAACTTTTATTCATGTTTTTCCTTTTCAGTGGCGAGGGGAGCCACATATCCGGGCAGAGCAATGGGCGGGACCCCCAGGCCCTGGCCAAAGCCGTGCAGGTTCACCAGGATACTCTGCGCACCATGTACTTCGCTTGAAGGCAGAACGCTGTTACCTCACTGGATAGAAGAAAGCTTTCCAAGCCCCAGGAGCTGTGCCGCCCACATCCAGAGGAGACAAGGAGGAGGGAGGTGGGGCGGGGAGGAGTGCAGCAGGCCTCGTTTCTTTCTACAGACGGGGTGTAAGGGTGGGGAATGGGGCCAGCAAGACTGACCACCAGCCAGAAATCTCTGAGATCAACCTCATGCTCCCCATCCCTTACTTCATCTTGTCACATCTGGCCCTGACCCCACCGGACCAAGAGGGGCAGCACTGGCCCACCGTGCACACAGGCGTCTCCTGTGACTCTCAGTGCTAAGGACTCACTTGACAGCTTAGTAAGGCCAGCTCTAGCCCCGCGGACAGAAGCTGGGAGGTTTGAGTTTGGTACTTTAGAAGGGAAAGTCAGAGGGGCTTGAGAAAGTGGGTGGGAGGAGGGAAGGATTTTTTTTAGGAGCCTTAATCAGAAAAGGTCTAGATTTGTTTAAGAAGAAAAATGAAACCAGACCCAGATCGATATTTTAGAATACTAGATGTTTTAATGGGTTCAGAGTCCAGTTTTTAGGAAGATTTTTAATGCTAATGGTTTCGGTTGCTCCTCCCCCAGCTGCCACCCCCTGCCCTCTTCCTGTCTGCCCACACTTTCTACCCCACCTTGCACCTCCTCCCTGACAGACATCCAGCCCCTTGTAACACTTAAGGCACTATGGCACTTAGCTCTGGAGTGACACGACCCTGTCTTCCTTCCGCCTGCTGGTGGGTAACCAGTGCCTTCCCTGTAACGGTATGCTGCAGAACCGCAACCTTTTGTACCTTTCTTTGGGGGACTGGGTGGGGGTGGGAGAGGAGGTAGGTGGGGAGGAAATGCCCCAGACCCAACAAGCCTCCAGCCGGAATGCCAGCTAGTTTGCATTTGTAGGAATCGACTTCCACATTCTTTGAGCTTTTAAAAAGATCACCACCTCAAGATGGTTCAAATCCATTGACATTTGCACTTTGAGACTTTCCAGGTCTCTGGAGCTGCTGAGCTGATGGCCCCTGGCCTTTCCACGTACGCCTAGTTTCCTCCCTGACCCTCACCTCCCACCCTGCCCAGTCTGGAGTTACTTTCACGACATTTCTTACTCTTGGCTTCTTTTTTCTGCTGATGGTCGAGTCTCTTATGTTTCAATATTTCATAACTGGGGTGTCTTATAACAAAAGATCCTTAGGTCTAAAATAAGAAAAAAGAGAGAAAACTAAATGTTATTTTTATACCATAGCTTGAGTCTGTTGCCAAAATCTGGATATCCCTCCCATGCCGGATGAGCTTACACCCTGGAAACATCGAGCCATCAGAAGGAGCTGTGTACCTAACTGCTCTGGCCCAGCTGGTACGGGGTGGCGATCTCCCCGTGTGGGCGCAGGCTCGTCCTGCCTCTGTGCAGAGAGTACCCTTTCCTTGCTCCAGGCTCCCGCTCTGCACCATTCTGCCCCTTCCTGCAAGTGCATCTCTCCTTCCTCTGGACTGTCCTGACCTGCCTCCTGCCGGGTTCCAGCACGTCCTGTGGACAGGCTGGGGAATTATGCTGCTCCCTACTGCTTCTGTTTACACAATGAATTTTTCCTGGTTTCCCACTAGGGCATGTGAGTGGGTGGCATGGGTGTTTGAGATATGGGGTTTGGCTGTCTTGCAGGACTGGAGAAGAAGGGGCTTTTAACTTGGTCCCTGTTGGCCTTGAGGCAAGATTCCCCTTTTTTTATCGACTGTTCACTCTTTTTTTTCCTGCCTCACTGCTTAGGATGAGGAGTTGCAACTTCAGTTTAGAAACTCCTCTCTTGGAGGAGCCCGGGCTTGAGTTTACCCCAGTCTGGTGATGACGCCATGATGCTTTGGACCTAGTCCGGGCTTGGAGGCCAGCCCAAGAGAGGAGGTTCTGAGTCCTGGCCTGTGGAGTTGGAGCTACCCTTTCCTCTGTGCAGACACCGACTTGCTATGCAAAACAATCCACCCCAGGTCCGCTCTGGTCGGTTACATTGTTCAGCTTCACAAAACGTAGCACAAACACTCAACTGGAGAAAGGATCAGGACGCTGTGTCATTTCTCCTTCCCTTTTTTCCTGCTGGTTACAGTATGGGGTGCCCCATGGGCATAAGCCCAGCTGCAGAACAGAATGGGGGGCTCTGAGAGGAGGCCGCTCACTGGAGAGCCTACATTCCTTACACAAGTGCCTAAAGAGTGATGCCAACACTCCATCTGCCCTGCCCATCGCCTCCACATTTAGTCTACTTCGTGTTCCGTCACCCTTCAGGGAGGGAGCTCTCTGAGACATTGGGCTCTGCACGTCCTCTGCTTGGGTACATCTGGGGGCTGGGATACGGGCACTGTCACTGGAGGGTCCAGTCATTCACCAGCATTAGCAGACGTCCATTGGGAGCAGGTGATGGCCACTTCTCCCAGCAACAAGTTTGTGTTCTCTCCTTTTCTCTCTTTGCCTCGCTCTCTCCAGTTGGGTTTTGAGTTGGGGCTTGAAATGCGTTTTTAGCCGTCTGGCATTGCAATGCCATTCAAGAAACGAAGGACGAGAAGATGATATCTTGCTCTTTTTTTTTTTTTTTAATTTTGTTTTTTAAATTTTCGAGACTTGAAAAATACCTCTGACTTGGAGGGTTATTCCGGCTTGAAAGGTGGCGCATGCGGATTGAGCTCGTTGGCAGCAAGCTTTGGCTTGCTTGGATTTAGTGTAAGCAGGGCATCTTACCCAAGCTTCGAGGAGGCGCTGCGGGCCTGCAGCTTCCTCCTCGTAGACAGGTCTCTTGTCCCTTTGTTGCACTATTTGGTCTTCATTTTCTCTTCTCTCCTTCCCTGGGTTCCTTTTTTTTTCTTGGTTCACTCTGCTTGCTTGCTGGCCTGCCTGCCTGCCTGCTCATGTGGTGATGAGTTCTCTGCATGGCTGCAATGATCCCACGGTTAGCTAGCAAGGCCGGGCTTAGCTCCTTGACTACGAAAGACCACAACCAGTTCCCCAAGCCCATGGGTGGTAACCCCAGGGCTGGACTGCCCTCACACTTACACTAGGGCAGAGCAGCAGGCCTGCCCAACTGGCATGAAACCAGGAGGGCTTCTGGCAGTTTTCACACTTGTCTACTCCTCGGAGCTGGTTTCTCTCATCACTTCTTCTAGGTCTGGTTCCTTTTCTCACGACCTGGGGCCTCCGTATTCTGAGGATCTCCTAGGGTCGAACTACTTGGGTATCCAGGGTTGGAGGGTTAGGAGATGAACATAAGGGAAGAGCAGAATGAAGAGAGTGGAGAGAGTCTGGGTAAGAGGTGGGAAAGGAGAGCAATGCTCGCTGACTGTTTACCCATTGGGTTTGAGGTGCTACTGTTGGCCTCTAGGGGTGAGCCTGGGGGCTGTTGCTAGGAACTGAGGCTTACTCTAAGGCTGAAGAAGGTTCTTAGAAGTGTGAAACCTCCTTAAAAGCTCCTAGTTCCCGCATGCTGGCTAGCTTCCCCATGACCTCCTCTTTGGCAAAGCGGCGGTGTTTTAGGACAGACTTCTCTTCCTGTCCAGGATCCTGCGAGTGAAGCCAGCACACACGCTGGGTAGCCGAGGCGCACTGACCGCTTGTCTGGCCTGTGGGTGTCTGTGAGGCTGGTGTGACGGTGCGTTAGACCTGGCCTCGTGTGGAACAGGAGAACGGAGGTTCCTTCTCCTTCAGGGTAGAAAAGTCATCTCAGACCAGCCAAAAGGCAGTTTTGGAAACTTATGTCGGGGAAAGTTATTTTTATTTATTTATCGGGCCTACGCCAATCCAGGATGGTAGCTCGGATGCCTTCAAGTCTGATCGTGGCAGGGATATGCAGGGCACTCTTT